TTAAAATGATATTCCCTCCGTCCTATATAATATGAGTGTATTACTGTAGACACGGAAATTTAGGTAAAATATAATTAGTAAGTAATTAAGAAATGTATTAGTAAAAATAATTATTATTTTGTAAAAATAATTATAGATTAAAATTAAGATAACTAAATATTTTAATTAAGATAAAACAAATTTAAATTTTAAATTTTAAAATATGATTAAAGTGTATAATTAATTTTCCAAAAAAGGAAAGGACAAATTACGTGGGACGGACGAAAATAAAAAATATTGACAAATTATGTGGGACGGAGGGAGTAATATTTTAATTGTAATAGACAGTTAAAAATAATGTAAAGATAATTTATTCTTATTTTTCAATATAAAAATAATGATACGACGGTAAAGTAAAAATATTTTTTTTAAAAAAAAATATATTTAAAATTATTACTTTATAATTGAACAACTCAAAATAAAATATGTATATTTTATGAATGAATAAAAAAAAAATTAATAATTTTTTACTCTATTACTACCATATTGCTTTGAAAATCATATCACTACTCCACTCATTTGTCTCGCCCTCTTTATTTTGCAATGTATTCAACATAGCTTCTATAATTGCATAACCATCATCTCCTATGAATTTTTTCTTTCATTCCACTCTTTATTTCAATACTACTCTCCAACTCCATTTTACTATCACTGTCGTCAAACCTTTTATCATTTAATTTCATTTCTTCGTTTAAACCATAATCCCCATGTACTTAAGCTCATACTTCTATCTTATTTCTCCTCATTATGGGAAGGGATCACCAGCACCCCTCCCACTTATGCAGTTAGGCCATCTTCAATTTATCAACTTCATTTACGCAGTTTTAACTCTAAATATGCAGTTGCTACAGTAATTTTACTCCAATCATAACTCTATTTTCACTATTATTCTTCAAATATTCTCCATTAATGGCGCTAGGTTGGAGATGCCCTTATACATACAAAGTGGGGCAGGACGAGAGAGAGGGTTATGATCCCATTCCACTTATATTACATTAGGCTGGTCATATTAATTAAATCTATGCTTCTTTTCATATGTTTATTTATTATATTTTTTATTCACTATACATTTTATAAGTATTGCTTATCAAAATTCTTATCATCTTTTATTTAAAACTTAAAACTATTATTAATATCCACAAAATTAGAACAATCATGTTCACCGCCTAAATATTCTCCTTTATTAAGAGTATGTCTCATCATCCTATCATAATATATTTTTAATGTGGATGAATTGTCTTTGTTAAACACTACTTCTACACAATTGTAAATAAAAATATTTCAACCAAGATTAACATAAACATAAAATATAGAAAAAATGAAACAAATCTAGGAAAATAACATTGATGTTATGCCACTAATTGAACTACAAAATAAATCTTCTATACATACTGATACGACCATTTTAAACACTACTATTCTTATGCCATTTTATCAAATGGAAATCTTTAAACTAACAACATGCAAAAGAAGAAAATTTAGGCCAATTAATAATAATAATAATAATAATAATAATAAGAGTAAATTATATAACACTCTTTGTATTTTTAATAAATAATAATTGATCAATCATTTATTTTTATAATTTTTTATAAAAATCAGATAATTATAAAATGAAAGATTAATTCATTATTTATTTTTTTTATTTTATTAAAAAAATTATTTAAAATATTTTGTATTTTTTATTTGTATAAAATTGACAAGAAGAGTGTTTCGTGAAATCACAAAGACACATATTATTTTGTGCATTTTTATGTGTGTTATATAATTTATCATAATAATAATAAAAAAACTTAAATGCTTACACCATCTCCAATTCATAAGTCGCAGGATTTATAATACATTTCTTCATTTTTGCAGACCTTCTAAGTCATTCATCTCTAATCACACCCTCTATATTTTGACTGATTAATGAATATTTTATGTTATATACTCCTTTCGTCCACCGTCAATCTATCCATTTTGCCATTTTAGTCTGTTCATCGCAAATGTATCCATTTCATTTATTCAAGTAAATGTACATTTCACTAAAATATAAAATTACCCTACCATTTATATAATATTACACAAATGTCATCAAATAACACCACTTAATACCATAAACGTTAAAGGGTATAATAGTATTTATGTATATTAATTGTACCATATATCAATATAATAGTAATATACTAAAATTTACGTGCAAAAAGTAAACAGATAGATAGACGGTGGACGGAGGGAATATTATTTTTTAAATTTATAAATAAAATTAATACTTTTATTATTTGTATATATTTAATTTATAAAAATATTTTAAATATTATATCAATAAATAAATTTTATAATTTTTCTTATTATTTGATACAAAATAATAAATATTTTTTAAATAAAATAAAATAAAATAAAATATTAATATTATTAAATAATATATATGTAAATAAAAATAAAAATAAAAATACTATATAATACTCCCTCCGTCCGCCCAATTTTATTCTCATTTTCCTTTTTAGTCCGTCCTTTAAATTTATCACATTATTAATTTTGACAAAATTAACAAATCAACATTTAATTATTATCCTCCATTCAACACTTATTTATAACAAATACCACTAACTTTATTACATTATCTCTTTTTATTTATTTTAATTTTTAATTAAATTTTCAAAAATATCCCCAAATACTTATTATTTTTTTCAATAATTTTTTTTCTTAAACTTCGTGCCAGACCTAAGTGTGCTAAGGCTATCTTCAACTTATCAATTCCATTTATCTAGTTTTAATTCCAAATATTCAGTTGCTACAGTACAATTTTACTCCAATCATAACTCTATTTTTCACAATTATTATTCAAATTTTCAATTTTTCAATTTTCCTATTATTTTAAAAAACTTTTTGTTTTTATAATTTAAAATAAAATTTTAAAAAATTTTAAAAAATAAAAATTAAATTTAAAAATCAAATTTATAATTTTAAAAATTAAAAAATTAAAAAAATAAATAAATAATTAGTGTTGTACTTTAGCAACGCCAAAAATTGGCGTTGGATTCTCCAACCGATGTCATATAAGCCAATTCAGCGCCATTAATGAAAGGAGTATTATTTAATTAAATATAATAAATACAATAAAATTAATATTAATTATAAAATTAAAATATAAATATATAAAAATAATTTATTTTAATAATAATAAAATAAAATTACAAGAAGAAAATGAAATCATAATTTTTAAAGTAAATTTTAATTAATTTTTAATTTAAAATAAAATAAATAATAAAAAAAAATCACTTCAAAGGTATTTCCTCTCTCACCCTTTCATTTCCCAAGGGTAAAGATAATATTTTATAGGGTGAGTGTGAGATGGTCTCAAGCCCATTTGAATTGGCTTAAAAAATAAATATAAGCCAAAAGTAAAAGCAGTGTTTGGATGATAATTATGTATAAAAGTAGCTTTTATAAAAAACCTATTTGGATGTAACATAATTGAAATTGTTTTTAAACTGTTAAAATTACTCAAAAAAATACAATATTAATATAATAGTATTTTTCTATAGAATTTTTATAATTTATTTTTAAATTTTATTAATTATATTTAAAGATTTTAAATAATAATATAAAAATATATTTTTAAAATTAAGTTATATAAATTTTAAATTTAAGGATAATATATAAATTAAAAATAAAATTTACAATCCAATATTAAATAATTTATATTTTAAAATTTTATAAATTATATTAATAATTTTAATATAATTAAAAATTTCATATACTCTTATTTAAATTTGGTATCTTAATTATAATTTTAAATTTTAATTAAAATATATATATAAATTAAAAATATTAATTTAATTTTTATTAAAACATAATATATATAAATTTTATATTATAAATATAAATTAATTATTTTTATATTATAGTAGTAATATATTATATTATTGTATTTATTATTATTATTATTAAATATAAAACAGTAATTTTAATTGAAAAATTATTCTGCTTATTTAAGAGGTTATCTTCAAAGTTCTTCTGAAAAAACAATAAGTATTAATCTCAAAATTGCTTCTTCTTTTGAATAGAAGGTAATGCAAACAGATAAAAAAATATTTTTTTTCTAAAAACAGAAGCTAAAACTTTATACCAAAAGTCAATCCAAACGGCTCTTCCTATAAGGATACACTCAGACAATCAAAATAGTAACAAAATAAATATTTAAACTTCTAAATATTGAAATCAAATTCGAGGGGAAAAGAGAGATGAATCTCTGCACATTAGTGAAATTGACGAATAATTATTGCAATATTAAGATTATAAAAGAACATTAAGGGTGTGTTTGTTCGAGGGTTTGGATTTTGGACAGAGACTTGAATAGTAAAAAGTTTGAATTTGAATGGTTGTATGATGTGATATAAATAAGAATTGATGTGATGTTTTTAATATAAAATTGATTTTTAGTATAATATAAAAAATAAAAAATAAATATTTAATTTAATATTTTTTGAAAAAAAATTGTATGAAAATAGTAGAAATTCCATATAATCCATCAAACGAACACACCCTAAACAAAACGATGTTCAAATATGATCGGCGTAAAAAATTATAATTACATATATATATATATAATGATGAGTGAGATGATCACAACTGAACTCAACGAGACAATCACAATAGCTAATTAAGCTACTCTTAGGATCTTAGTACCATTTATCCACGCAAAGTCTCGTCTCCTCGGCTTCTCTCTGTCTCATCATCGTATCGGTTGTCCCGTCATGTAATTAATTATTTTACAGCTTTTTGTAGCTTACTCATCATCGCTGAGTAGAGTAACTGTATCGTCCTTCCTTCCTAACTTCTTCTTCTTCTACTGAATCTCAAGCCCGCCCATCCATCGGGGAGGAGAAGCTAGGTTGGCTGGCTTATCAGCTACTATTATATTCTTGCATGAAAAGTTGCAGTTGGATTTGATATTGCTCCTACAAATTACTAAAATGGAAATGCATAATAATGGGAGAGATGATCATGGCTTCATCGATATGGTGCTTTCATGGTCCCGTCAAGACGGCATCTTTAATCACAATCTCTACAGGCATCAGGTCCGTCCTTCCTTCCTTACCTCTCACAATTATATTCTTACAATTTTCCACATGTAATTACATTACATTACACTTATGATGCGTGTGTCATTTCTTACATTAGGTGGAGACAATTCCGGATGTGTTCCCAAGTGCCGAAAAATATCTATCTTCATTTTTCTTCCCATTGCTGGAAGAAACTCACTTCGAACTGGCTTCTGCCTTCGAGGATGCCTACAGAGCACCATATGCGAATGTAACTCGGCTTCATGAGTGGAAGAAGAAGGATAAATTTTACGAAGTGAACGTAGATCATTGGACGAACATTGGCAAAGATAGTGATGGAAAACCATACCGAACCTTGCCGGGCGACATTCTCCTAGTTTCGGACAGGAAACCAGAAAATGCATCTGATATGCGGCGTACTGGTTGGACTTATACATTGGCATCTGTAATACAAGTTTCTGACAAACAAGGTGATGACGATGAAGAAGGTGACGATGCCATTTCATCACCCGTTGCATTCAAAATGGAAACAGCTGTCGCCATGGACGTCGAGTTTGTAAAAAACAGGTCATTTTATGTCATTCACTTAATGAATGTGACCTCCAATAAAAGAATCTGGAATGCACTTAGGATGCATCGGAATATGAAGATCATCTCAAAAGTGTTGGACAGGAATGCCTTGGATGATGAAGTCTGTGAATTCTGTCATCCCAAATCAGAGGGCGAAATGGGAGAGATTCTTGGCTCTGTTTTAATGTCGAAGCTGAATGAATCACAGAGGGAGGCGATTTTCGCGACTCTGTGCAAAATCGAATGTGACCACAAGCCATCTGTGGAGCTCATCTGGGGGCCTCCAGGAACTGGAAAAACTGCTACACTAAGTATGTTGTTGTTTGGGCTATTGAAAATGGGCGTTAGGACATTAGTTTGTGCACCGACGAATGTGGCGATTACTGAACTGGCCTCGCGGCTTGTGGCATTGGTGAGGAACTCTGTCGAGGATGACGTGATTTGTCCTTTAGGGGACATTCTTCTCATGGGAAATAAGGATAATCTGAAAATTGGATCAGACATTGAGGAGATCTTCTTGGATAACCGTGTTAAAGCTCTCTTCAATTGTTCCCTTGCTGCAACTGGCTGGAGGGGATCGGTTTCGGCCATGCTTGATTTTCTTAACAATGCTGTGGCTCAACACGAAGTCTATGTAGAAAATGAGCTCATCAAAGTGAAGGAGGGTCTACATGATGATGGCCAGGAACCTGCTATCAAATCATTTCTAGAATTCGCCAGGGAAGGAGTCGAAAAGGTGGCCCCAAATCTACGAAGTTCGCTGATAACATTAGTTACTCATCTGCCAAGAAGTTGCATATCTGAGAGCAATGTTGAGCTCATTGTTCAGCTAATGTCTCTTCTTGAGTCCATCGAAGCTTTGTTGTTCGACGATCGTAGCATGACATCCGAGAAGTTGAAGATGATCTTTCAGACAAGTGGTTCGGAGGAGTCAGTAAACACATCATCGTTGATATGTATCAGAAGCCAGTGCATTTCTATTTTGAAGTATCTTCACTCTTCCCTCACCAAACTTGTCGACAATGGAATTTCTAATAAAGGTTCCTGTATAAGAAAAGCTCAATTAATATTTTGCACGGTTTCATCCTCCTACAAGCTGCATTCAGTTGATAAGGAGAAATTTAAATTGTTGGTCATCGATGAGGCTGCGCAAGTGAAGGAGGCTGAATCGATCATCGCCCTTCAGATCCCTGAGGTGACACATTGTGTTCTTGTGGGCGACGAATGCCAACTAACTGCGATGGTCAGCAGCGAGGTAATCATTATGTTATATATGCTTTTTTTCTATAATCTTTTTACAGCATTACATGGATTTCTTTTTTTACTTGCAGTTGGCTAAAGAAGCTGGCTTTGAGAGAAGTCTTTTTGAAAGATTAAGCTCATTGGGTCATAAGAAATATTTACTTAATATGCAATACAGAATGCATCCATTAATTAGTAGGTTCCCCAATTCGACTTTCTACAGCAACCTCATATTAGATGCACCTGTCGTGCGACGTGAAAGCTATGAGAGACACTACCTTGAAGGTAGGATGTTCGGTTCCTATTCCTTCTTGGACGTTCGTGGAGGGAAAGAGGAATTCGACGATGTCAGGAGCAGTAGAAGAAATATGGTTGAGGTAGCCGTAGCAGTGATTATTGTGAAGAAACTCTTTAAAGGTAGATATATATTTACTGCGAAAAAAAGTTAATCTCTTATCTATGAACTTACACGTTTCCGTATGTGTTGAACAGCATGGCAGTCAAAGTTTCCTACAGAGAAACTTAGCATTGGTTTAGTGTCTCCCTACAATTCTCAAGTTGCAGCTATTCGAGATAGAATTGGAAAGAAGTATGACAATTTTGATGGCTTTGCGGTTAAGGTGAAGTCCATTGATGGATTTCAAGGCGGAGAGGAAGATATCATAATTATATCAACTGTGAGGTCGAATAACGTTGAATCTATTGGTTTCTTGTCTAGTCCTCAACGAGCAAACGTTGCACTGACCAGAGCACGGTAAGCATGCGATTTCAGTACATCATTCTTATTCCATGTCTTCTGTTGAATGAGTATTGTGATTCTTGTTTTGCACTTTGTAGGCACTGTCTCTGGATTTTAGGAAACGAAAGAACATTGTGCAAACCAGGTTCAGTATGGGAAGCTTTGATAAATAATGCCAAGCTTCGTGACTGCTTCTTCATTGCCGATGAAGATGAAGATATTGGAAAGACTATCGTAGATGTCAAGAAAGATTTGGATCAGCTCGATGAATTTCTAACTTCGGACAGTATACTAGTTCAGAAGTGTAGATGGAAGGTAACACACTTATGTTTTTTTGTTTCTTTTTTTTTTCAAATTTGAGCTTAAATCTTCAAGTCATTTTTTTCACTCCCATGTTCTCATATCTTCAGGTTATATTCAGCGACAACTTCCGCAAGTCATTTCAGAAGTTGAAACCTTCATATGTTAAAAAGCTGGCTGTGAATTTATTAATTAAACTTGCAAGTGGTTGGCGGCCGAAAATAAATGTCGACTGGACTTTAAAAAAATCTTTGCATATTGTCAAACGATTCAAGGTAGCGAAGCACTACATTTTGTGCACCATTGATCTTACAAAAGAATCTTACTACAAGCAAGTTCTGAAAGTTTGGGACATATGTCCTGAGGCCGGGGTGCCAAAAGTTTTGCCACTCCTTGAAGGAATATTAGCCATGTTAACGGACGATTTTATAAGCCACTGCAATGAGAAACTAATCGAGGGGTAAGAAATTTCGATCATAGTCTGAATTAAGTGATCTAATGACCTTAACTTTGATCACTGGTTTTCTTTTTTCAGTACTTTGGAAGTGCCTAAGACTTGGTGGAAAGCTAAGGATATAATCCGTTACAAGAATGCAAGTGATGCTAACTCCAACGACAGCAAAAGTGCTTCTGCTGCTGACTGCCCAAGTTGTGTTGAGAATTCGAAAGTTAATGAAAGCTTGCTTTTGATGAAATTTTATTCCTTGTCTCCTGCCATTGTCAATCATTTACTCTCTGATTCCAAGGATCAAGAAGTTGATCTCCCGTTCGATGTCACCGATGAGGAGCGCGAAATCATAGAATTTTGTCGGAGCAGCTTCATATTGGGAAGATCTGGCACAGGAAAAACAACTATATTAACTATGAAGATTTTCAAGAAGCTACAGCAGTACTGCATTGTCTCTCAAGATTTTCAAACATCAGGTGGATCGAGGGACAATGTTTTGCGCCAGCTTTTCGTGACTGTGAGTCCCAAGCTCTGCTATGCTGTAAGAAAGCATGTATCTCGACTTAAAAGGTATGTTACACGGATCTGAAGCAGCATTGCTTCTCTTATTGCAGATTGTTAGTATTTCAATCTTATGTCTTAAGCTTAGCTATTCATACAGCTTTGCAAGTGGAGGCTTCTCTGGAGATGACGACATAGAAGACTTTGATGACATGATCGGGTTTAAAGATATTCCGGACACTTTTGTTGGCATCAGTACAGACAAGTACCCGCTGGTAATAACATTTCACAAGTTTCTGATGATGCTCGATGGAACCATCGGGAATTCGTATTTTCAGAGGTTTCGCGACCTCCGTCGTTCCCTTCAAAAGGATGGTGGAAGATCAGTTGCGCTGGATGCGTTCCTAAGGAATAATGAGGTCACCTTCGACCACTTCCGGTCGTCCTACTGGCCTCGTTTCAATTCTAGTCTCACAAAGAGCCTTGATCCTTCGAGAGTGTTCACTGAAATCATGTCTCATATCAAAGGAGGTCTTCCGGAAGGTGAAAACTGCGACAGCAAGAGAAGCAGAGATGCTTACCTTTCTTTGTCTGACAGCCGAGTGTCGACATTAAGTGTAGACCAAAGGGATATGATATATGACATCTATGAGAGCTATGAGAAAATGAAAAAGACTCGCGGCGAATTTGATATGGCGGACTTTGTGTTGGATGTTCTTCGCCGGCTCGAAGAGTCAGGGGATCTTCCCGGCGACAAAATGGACTTTGTCTACATTGATGAGGTGCAGGACCTCACCATGAGACAAATATGCCTTTTCAGGTATATATGCAGCAATGTCGACGAAGGTTTTGTTTTCTCTGGCGACACAGCGCAGACTATTGCTCGAGGGGTAGACTTTCGGTTTGAAGACATTAGATCTTTATTCTACAATGAGTTTTACATGAAGTCGAACAGCTCAAAATCTTCGGAAAGAAATGTGAAAGGGGTGATATCTGATATCTTTAGCCTATCACAAAATTTCCGGACTCACATTGGAGTACTTAGATTAGCACAAAGTGTGACTGATCTCATTTCCCATTTCTTCCCACAATCCATCGATGTTTTGGCTCCGGAGACGAGTCTCATATATGGCGAGCCCCCTATTTTTCTGGAACCTGGCTGCGATGAGAACTCGATTATACCAATTTTTCAGAATAGTGCTAGTGCCGGTGAACAATGGGTTGGATTTGGCGCAGATCTGGTCATACTCGTAAGAGATGATTCTGAAAAAATGGAAATCTCGAAGTATGTTGGCAATCAAGCTCTTGTTCTCACGATACTTGAGAGTAAAGGCCTCGAGTTTCAGGTCAGCTGACAATGTGTATAAATTTGTTTCTTCTGCATGTCTTCATCATATGCTCGACACCTTTTTGTGTATTTTGCAGGATGTTTTGTTGTACAACTTTTTTAGTTCTTCGCCTTTGAGGAACCAGTGGAAAGTTGTATATGAATTTTTGAAAGAAAGAGAGCTTCTTGATGATGACTCTCCCAAGTCCTTTCCGAGCTTTAGCCAATCCAGGCACAATTTGTTGTGCTCTGAGTTGAAGCAACTTTATGTTGCAATTACCCGAACTCGGCAGAGGCTGTGGATCTGTGAGAACACTGAGGAAGTGTCGAAGCCATTGCTCGATTACTGGAAGAAATTGTGCCTTGTGCAGGTGAAGAAGCTCGATCCATCGCTAGCGCAAGCTATGCAAAAGGTGAGCAGCGCCGAGGAGTGGAAGTCACAAGGAATGAAGGTACGGTTGAAGACTGTTTCATGGTATTCGAATCTTTTGTTTTTTCATTAATCACATTGAAGATCACCGTATTGTTTGCAGCTATTTATGGAAAATAACTTCGAGGTGGCGTCTATTTGCTTCGAAAAAGCTGGCGAAGTAATGTGGGCGAAACTGGCCAAAGCTTCTGGTCTTAGAGCTTCAGCCTTCTCTTTTAGAGGTACAAATCCTTCCAAGGCAAGCATGATGCTTCTAGAAGCTGCCGAGATATTCGATTCCATTGGTAGAGCTGATTCTGCCGCAGAATGCTTTTATGACTTGGAACAATATGAAAGAGCTGGTAAATTATTTTTGTTGTACTTTTTGCATTTGCCAATAGTCCTTTGCTGAAATCGGTTTTGGATTCCAGGAAATATATATCTGCAGATGGGTAGCTTGTCCGAGTTAAGGAAAGCCGGTGAATGTTTTTGTTTAGCTCGAAATTACAGAACTGCAGCTGAAGCTTTCGCCAAGGGGAAGTTTTTCAAGGAGTGCTTAACTGCCTGCTTTAAAGGAAGTATGTTTGACTTGAGCTTGCAGTTCATCAAGTCGTGGAAACAGGAAGTGTCAAGGAATAGTTTGATCATGGCAAGAACCAACGAGATCAACGAAATTGCAGATGATTTCGTAAAAAAATGTGCCATGATCTTTCACCGAAGAAAGGACAACAAAATGCTGATGAAGTTCATTGAAGCTTTTCCGACGATGGAGTCCAAACGCAACTTCTTAGAGTCTTTGAAACGGCTCGACGTTCTTATAGTTTTGGAGGAAGGATTGGGAAACTTCGACGAGGCTGCTGTTATTGCCAAGCGTATTGGGGACACTACGCGCGAGATTGATCTACTTGAAAAGGCAGAACAGTTCGAAAATGCTGCCGGGCTTGCTCTATGTTATGTGCTCACGAATTCTCTATGGCTGCCCGGAGATGGTAAGGAATGGCCACTCAAGTCGTTCCCGAAGACGGAACTCCTTTTAGCTAAAGCAAAATCGATTGCGCAGAGAGTTTCCGAGGCATATCATTCTTCGGTCTGCTCTGAGGCGCGAGTTTTGTCCCATGGGATGATAAGCCTTCCTGAATTGATGCGATGCTACGTTACTTCGAAGCAAAATGGGACTGATGTAGGCGAAATAATCGCCATCCGGAAGCTTCTGGATGCTCACATGGAAGTACTTCCTGCGAACCTGAAAAGCGAGGTCGAAGTTGATGTTACTCCAGATTTGTTTGAGGAAAGGATTTTGCGGAGTCATCTCTCGATTGCTACGCTATTTTACGTCTGGAATTTATGGAAGGCGAAGAGTTTGGAGATCTTGGAGTGCTTAAACTCTCTCGGGAGTATGGATTTCATTGAATGTGCAGGCATTGTTCGATTTTGCTTCAACTATTTCGGAGTGAGGTTGCTGGATGATAAGAGTTTAAAATGCATTGTTTTGAACTGCGACGCCGCATGGTTGAAGAATGTCGACGGGAGCTCTTTGGTGCGCAGCGGAAAGCTAATGATACTCAATGCTCGCCATTTTGCATCCGCAGCTCGGAAGCATTGGCAGCAGGAATTTCTTTCTGTGGGATTACGCGTGCTGGAAATTCTGAAATCATTTTACAGGCTTCCTGCGTCGAAGGGCTTGTCGAAAGACTGTTTGAACATATGCTTGATTTATATTTTCGACATTGCGAAATTCTTCGTCGAAAAGAAATCGTATGCTGCGAAGAAAGCTGAAGCGGGGAAGCTGCAGGGTTACGTCGAACTCTCGATGAACTACTTCGAAAATGCTTTCCCTTTGGATCCACGGCAGTCGTTGTCCGAAAACATGGTTTATACTAGGGGAACTCAACTTTCGAAGAATCTACTTGAGCACGTTATCGATATTAATATTAGCAATTTGGGTGACGAGATCACATACGGGCAGCTCGGACGAGTGACGATGATCCTACTCGGATCGGGCATGCCTTCACACGACATTCGTTGTCTGATTGCCGAAAGGCTTGGTAAGAGTTCTACATGTTGGAAGCCTTTCTTCGAAAATCTTGCTGAGTATTTGCGATGTGGGCATCGAGAAGTAGTGAGTTACGAGCTTTACAGAGCATTAGAGGAAGCTTACAACGTGAATTGGACGGCGAAGGATTATATATCTCCCAAGTGTTTCTTCTATCTCGTCGAAAGGCTTTTGATTTTGGTTCCTTACGGTTCGAGCTTCTTCTTCGCTTCAAAGTCTTCATTTTGCGAATACCTATTGTGTCTGAATTCTGATGTGGATCCGGCCGCCATGTTGGTTCCGGAGGAGCTGATCGATGTTGGAAATGCTCTGAATTTCGTCTATGACTGTGTTCTGGAATGTCTGAATGATCCTAAGACTACTGCGAAATGGATTGAGAAGTCGGCAGTCGACTGCAAGTACTATTTTCCAGTGCTGTTTCTGAGGTTGTTCTTGATTCTTCTTCTGCTATGTCTGAACTCGAGGTTTGACATAGGCGTGGTAACTAAGTTGCTAAGGCTTCCGTACATCAGATCGCAGCTGCCGAATCATTTTTGTGATATGCTTTGTAATCGGAGGTTATGGGACGAGGAGTCGAAGGTGGATGTTGTTGCGGCAGCGTTCAAGTCTGTCGGGGATCCTCTTGTGGTAGTTTCGGTGACTGGGAATTGCCCGAAATCGTCGTGTCCGAAGGATGCCATTGCAATCGAACTAGAGTCATTTAAGACGCGTGATGAGGCTGTAAGAAGGCTTTTTGTCTGTGACAGGTTGAGCTGCAGCAGCAGCATTCTCGAATCGAAATCGGAAGCTGATGATAATCCAGATGCTCCTGCAGCTGCTAATGGTGAATGCATCAGCAGCAGTGATGGTGGTTTTGTTGCAGGCGAAGATGAAGGTGTCGAGAGTATAACCACTTTGAAGGCTGCTGATAATTCAGATGCTGCTGCTGCTGCTGCTTTTAATGGCGAATACATCGACGAGCACGATGGAGATGAAGATGAAGAGAACAAGTGTAGAACTGCTGCTGTTGAGGTTGAAGAGGAAGAGGAAGAGGAAGAGGAAGAGGAAGATAATTTGGTAGCTGGGGCTGGGAATGGATGATGCTTGTCACTCCAACAATATCCAAACTCAAATTTTGTTGGTTCGTTTGTATTAAATCCGCATATATATATATATATATACACTAGTAGTTGTACGCACGGACTTATTATACGAACTTTTTTTTATAATTAATTTATCTATTTTGATCCTTGTAAAATTAATTTATTAAAATAATTATATTTTCAATATTATATAAAATATAATACATTTCAAATATTGAGAAAAATCATATGTATTTCCTAAAATCCTATTTATTATAAGAGTAGTCCAAAATATCTAATAAATCTATAATCAAAGTTTTGAATCATTAAATTATTCACATAACTTTCAAACATTTCATAAAGAAATAAACAATTTTACATTTATTCTTCATTTTCATTGTTGCTATGAAACTAAACTACGAAAGTTGTCTATGCCCCAACTTTGTATTTGAAAAATAAATAATGTCCTCGTTTAACTGGTGCTTATTTTTGGGTAGCAGCGGCAAGTTCTCACGTCATGAAAAAAATAATAATAATAAAAAATAAGAAAAATAAATAATGTCTTTTTGAATGAAAAATTAAAATGAAATTGAAATAAAAAATAAAATAGTGATTCTTTGAGATATTAAAATTCTATTTTTTAAAAAAAGAAATTCAAAGTTTTATCTTTATTTTTTAATGTAAAAGAAATAAAAGTCATGATGTAAAAATAATGATACAATGGTAAAATAAATTTTTTTATTTTTTTATTTTAAAAAAAGAAGTGAATGAAAAAAGTATTACATTACTTTTACAAAATTATATTTTTAAAATTTTTTAATTTAGAATAATTTTTTAATTTTTATTATAAATACAAAAAATATAAATATTTACATATAATGATTATATTTAAATGTAATTGCATCACTATTATTTTTATATTATCACTGCTCACACTCAAAGAAAATTATATAGGGAGATTTGAAAAAATAATATTTCTTTTATTTATTAATTTTGATAATAAATTGCACATAACAATGTCAATATTTTTCCTCTTCAAATTGTGTGTATGTATATATATATATATGATACATAGTGAAATAGATATGAGCATATCAAACAGGCCTATTCGAATTCTACATAAGCATGCATACAAAAAAGTCTCTTCAAATTCTACATTGTAATATTAACCATAATCAATAGGAAACCTTTTCGAATTTCTTATTATTATTATTATTATTATTATTTTAAAATCAAATAATAATTTTACTATTAACTTAATTATTGATAAATAATTATATAAAGTAGTTTTATATAATAATATATATTATAACTAACGTATGTATATTTATTACATATTTTTTACTATACACAATTACTAAAATAAATATAGTTATTATATTTTATATCTTATAATAATACATATTTACAGAATTTATGACAAAATAAGTTTAAAATAATAATTTTCTTAAAAATTGTTCTTGTAGAAAATATGATAAAATATTAATTTTTAGAAATAATGTAAAATAAACTATACAAATGTCTTATATATACATATAAATATACTAAATTTACAATATACGATATATATATATATATTTTTACTTTTTATTAATGTAGCACATATTTAAAAAACAAATATTAATTATAATTTCAATTTACATTAAAAAAAAATAGAAATAGTAAAGATATAGTTATATCACATATAATTTGCACATATAATGAAATAGATAATTAAATATAGTATATATATATAAATCATCCATGTCTCCCACATTATTTAAATAGAATAAAAAATTGATATATGTAATGGTCAATTCAATTGCACAACCAATCAAAAATTAAAGAAAAAAAATTCAAAATTGCTTAAAGTTCATGCTTTACATTTTGATGGACCCCACACTAAGTTCAAATATAGATATATATATATATAAAAGATATATATATACACCTAGATGTGACTTCATCTTCTTCATCACATCGCCTTTGCCGTTACTCTCAATCACCTCACTATCGCTCACTGTGCACATCGCATCCACTAACACCATTTTCCATTCACATCAATTCACACACAAAGCACTTCGTCATTGTGATTATTAGAATCACTTTATTTCGCCTACGTTTCGTTCACACTTCAATTGATCTTCGCATTGATTATTCCTTCACTCTGCGGCGCTGATTGTTAGACCTAACATCTTTTTTTAGTTCTTCTCCGTTTTCTCTCCTTCCCACAGGTACTTGGCTTGATTTACAACTTTTTTGGTTGTTATGTTCTTAATTGTTGTTGTTTGAGGTTCTGAAAGGCATCTTTGTGATCGACAACTTTACAACTACACTGGTTTGGTTGTATTCTTCATATTTTCTAATCATGAGGTGATTTAGATTTATTATGATGCTATTAGAGTTTTCCAATGTGAGCACAGTGCCTTTCCATAGTTTATTAATGTGTAGAGACATATTCTCTGTTGATCTTTGTGATCTAGGCGTGTATTGTTTGAATCTCACCTCATCTATACACCAACACATTTGATAATACAAAATCACTTGGAGTGTAGGTATTTCTCAGTCCCTACTATAGAACTGTGTGCTTGTTTAGTATTGGTTTGTTAACATGGTATCAGAGCGAGGTTTGACATTATCTCTGTTTGTAGGTGTCAATCCGTGATTGTTGGTTGCTGTCCTTGGTAAGTTAAAAGTTCAATGTCAACTTTGTTCTCAATGGGTGAATCCACCACTAATTCTTCTGGTTAGCAAACAATCCCCCAGTAGTTGCTTCAAATCTTTATGATCCATTGAATTTTCATCCTTAAACTATGCCAACACTTCTTTAATCTCTTATGTATTAACTGGATGTGACAATTTTGTTCTTTGGAATAGAACCATGACCATTGCACTGACAGGTAAGGACAAGCTTAAAGTTGTTGAAGATAATGTTTCTGATCCTGAGCTTGCTGACAAATAGAACATGTGCAATATTGTGGTATTGTCTTTGCTATTGAACTATGTTGATGAATCAACTTATAAAACTCTTGTTTTCTATGAAACAACCTCTGATATGTGGAAAGACATTAAGAGTACTTATGGAAAATGTAGTGGAGCTAGTATATATGGAGTTTTGAAAGAAATAACTAACTGTAAGTAAGGAAGTGATAATGTAAATACATATTACACTAATCTGAAACAATTGTGGGACCATACAACATCCATTAAAGCTGTTGATCGCTGTGTTTGTAATGTTAGAACTTCCTTAGGTAGATATGAACAAACTCAACAGTTGGTCCAATTTCTTATGGGTCCAAAAGATAAGTTCTCTGTCGTTAGGAACACAATACTTGCTATGTGTTCACCTCCTTCAGTTAAAGAAGCTTATAACATAATAGGTTAAGAAGAGTCTCACAAAAATATCTGTAGTGACAATATCTCTCCAAAAAACAGTGGTGCGTTTTCTTTGAAAAGGCCAATTAAGTTTAATGCTTAAAATCCAAATCTTAAATGTTCTCAGTGTGGTAGAACAGGTCACTTAATCGAGAGGTTTTATCAATTGATAGGATACCCATATAAAAAATAGAGTTTAAAAATTAACAGAATTCTTTTTGCTTCTGCTAATAATACTTTCTCTAATCATGCCAATAATGAACTTCCAATGTCTTCCACAAAAATTTCTCCAACTCTTGATGTTTGTAATGAATTGATTAGGCTTCTGCATGAAAAAAAAGAGCACGGACTCTCCTCGGCTTAACATGGCAGGTATATCTTCTACTTGGTCATGTAATTTAGTTGTGAGTAGTGATTGGATTATTGACTTTGAAGGTACAGATCATATAGTAGCTGACAAAGCTTTACTTAATAATGTTAAATCTGTTGAAACTAGTCTTATACATGTTACTTTTCCTACGGGAAAATTTTCCATTGTTGAAATAGGAAAAATGCATTTGTGTGAAAAAATTGTTCTAGAAGATGTGTTGGTTGTTCCTGAATTCAAGCTGAAATTACTTTATGTCAATATAGACTTACATCCTTAGGAACAGTTACTGTAAATTTATTAAAAAATGCTTGTATGATACAAAATATTTTAAATGGAAGAGTGTTGGGTCGTGTTGAAGGATTTTACAGGTATGAAACTTTACAACCTAACTGTGGACAACACTTTTGCTTTAGTGCTGGAGCAGAAAACAACCCTACCTTGTTGCATTTTTAACTATGACACCTATCTCGTGAGGTGTCGAGTCTTCTTAAGGCAGACATGGGTCTGTCTAACGTGTCAAACTCAGTTTGTGACATTTGTCATTTGGCAAAACAAACAAGAATTCCCTTTTCTCATAGCTCTTACAAGTCTAAAGCTCTGTTTGAGCTGGTTCATAGTGACATTTGAGGTCTTTATCATGTGAAAACAATAGAGGCTTTCAGATATATTCTCGCTCTTGTTGATGATTTTTCTCGTTCCACTTGGGTCTTCTTGATAGAAAATAAGTCTGAAGTTCTTGCATGTGTGAAACATTTTCTTGCTCTGATTAAAAACCAATTTGATAAGAGTGTCAAGGTCTTTAGATCAGATAATGGAACCGAGTTTGTGAACTTATCTCTTACTAACATTTTTAAAAGATCTGGAATAGTGCACCAAACCACATGTACCTATACTCTTTAGCAAAATGGAGTTGTTAAGAGTAAACATAGGCACATTTTCAATCTTGCTAGAGCTCTTATGTTTCAAAGTTCCTGTCCCATCAATCTTCGCGGGAATTGTGTCCTTATAGTTGTTCACATAATAAATAGACTCTCAACACCTCTCCTTGGTAAGAAGAGCCCCTTTCAGATTTTCTATAGGCAAAATTCTGAACTAAACATAGTGAAAATGTTTGGTTGCTTGTGTTATGCAACTAATTTAAACATTTCTGATAAGTTTCACCCTAGAGCCAAACGTTGTTGTTTTGTTGGTTATGTTAAAACTAAGACAGGTTATAAGATTCTAGACTTAGAAACATTTACTATGTCTGTCTCATGTGACATTGTCTTTGATGAGTTTGTGTTTCGTTTCCAGTC